AATCACACTATATGTCAGTTACACTCTAGAAACTCAGATTTCTGAGCAAAAATGCACCTATTAATAAACAATAATGCTAGGGACATCAAAATTATGCACCAAAATTGAGTCCCAAATGATGTGACACCACATCATCAATTATATATATATATATATATATATATATATATATATATATTTTATGAGTCATTACTTTGCTTAGGTAAAAGACTATTTAAAAAAGTAATGTTAAGTCAATTAACCCTAAAAAAAACCCTTTGCAGCAAAAAGGAAACAAGAAAATAAGAAAGAGATTTTCTATTTAAACCCCGAATTTCACTTAGTTCACCCCAATATTTAAATAATTAAGTTGTAAGTTTTATTATTGTGTAAAAAGACAAAAAAGGTCATCCAACTTAATACTTAACCCTAATACATCTATACACACACCCCACACACCCCACCACTCTTCAACACAGGGAGACCATGAAGGTAAAGTATTTGAGTTTCTTCATAGTGTACGCTGGGCAAAGGTTCTCAACACCTTTATATTTTGCTTATTTCTCATCATGCAAATTCAATACAAAGTTGTTTCCTTAACCTTTGTGGCTCAAACCAATCCCTGGAATGTGTGTGCAAGTAACTGGCCCCTCTATCTTGTTTCTGTTTCTACACATGTTCGTCATAACAAGAAAATATGCATACATATTTAGGCTCATCAACTGGTTTATAATTATAATCTCTCTCTGATTTTCTACTGTCGGTTCACCATTGCTCTCGAAGAAAGTGAATTTGAGCGCGCATTGGATTGCATTGTTAAATTAAGGACACCATCAAGAACTGATTCTTTTTTAAGAAAAAAAATTATTATTGCTTGAGCTATTGTGGCACAAGCCAATCCCACCATCAGTTTCTACCACACTCAAAGTAGGGCTTCTATAATGTGTTTTTGCCCTTTTCCATACACAATGTACCAGTCATTTATTTGAGTGTGAGCTGATGATGTGTTCTATAATTCCATACCTTCTTCCGTTGTGAAACAATCCCAATCAATACCGTAATAAATGTGTATTTTCACTTAGTATTTCTGATTTCAGTTTACTTGCGTTAATCTTAACCTCATTTAATCACATCACAGCCCTGGTAATATTATGATGATTACAGTTTAGTTGAATAATTAAAAGGTTCTTGGCTCATCTCACTCATATGCTATTATGAGATTATTCACACATTCATGCTACATGTCTGAGCAAACTTTTGGTATTGATGCAGTTGTTTTTTTTTTTAGCAGCTAGAACAAATTACTTTTACTCCAAGCCATGATACCAGGACAGAAAGTGTTTTGGACACAACTAAACAATTCACAACTGATGAGGTAAATAAACTATTATTATGATGTTGTAACTTATGAGTGGTTGATAATCTTTTACAACTGCCATATATGCTTTTATATAGATATTTAATAGTCAAGAAGCATTGCTTAATTGGAGTCATGTGCAAGGACGAAAGTGTGGCATAGTAGTTGTCATTAAAAGGTCTGATGGAGTTGGAAAAATTATAACGAGGAGGGCTAGAGTTACTTTAGGTTGTGAGAGAGGTGGGCATTATATTAAGAAGCCTAATGTAGATTTAGATGATGAGCAACCAATGAATTCTGAAGTAGATGTAAGTATTGATCATCGGAAAAAAAAGCGCTCTAAAAGCACTGGTACAAAAAAGTGTGGTTGCCCGTTTCAGTTGAAGGGGTTAAATATTAGTCTTGGAGATGAGTGGAAAGTTGAGGTTGTATGTGGAGTTCATAACCATCAATCTGCTGAGTATCTTAAAGGACATTCTTATGCAGGACGGTTAAGCAAGGAAGAAAACAACTTGCTGATGGATATGTCTAAAAGCTTGGTGAGGCCAAAAGATATATTATACACCATTAAACGACGAGATGGCAAAAATGTAACAACAATGAAGACAATCTACAATGCTAGACACAAAAGCAGAGTGGTTGAGAAAGCTAGTAGATCTGAGATGCAACTATTGCTATGTAGACTATCTGATCACAAATATATTAATTGGCATAGGACTGATGACACCAATTGTGTGAGCGATCTTTTTTGGGCTCACCCTGATAGTGTAAACTTATTGCACGCATTTCCTCATGTACTAGTAATGGATTGCACATATAAGACAAACAGGTTTCGATACCCATTACTACAAATTGTGGGGGTAACATCGACGAAACTAACATTCTCAGCTGCATTTGCTTATATTTCTTCTGAAAAGGAAGACAACTATATGTGGGCTTTGAATAGATTGAAAAGCATCATGAATACAAATTGTCTTCCAAGTGTGATTGTCACTGATAGGGAAATGGCACTTATGAATGCCATTCGCAATATGTTCCCTAGTGTCCGACATTTATTATGTAGATGGCATATCAACAGGAGTGTGATGAAGGCTTGCAAGGGCATACTTAAGAAAGGTGAAAAATGGGAACAATTTATAGTGTTATGGAATATGTTGGTCTTAGCAAAGACTGAGGTTGATTATGAAAGAAATCTACTTGAGATGGATAGGATATTTGAAGGAAAGTATAGTAAGATGCTTGATTATGTGAAGGTCAATTGGTTAAAAGAGTATAAGGATTGGTTTATGGCTGTATGGACAGACACTTGCATGCATTTTGGCAACACCACATCGAATAGGTACGTCGACTATTTAATAATAATTCATATCATCTATATATTTCTTTGATTATTCCTAGCTTATACTAAATCTCTTGTTTTAATGTTTATAAATAGGGCAGAAAGTGCACATTCACAACTAAAGCGACAACTTGGCACAAGCCAATGCAACTTCGAAACATCGTGGGCCAAGATTCATGCCATGTTAGTATTGCAACACACTGAGATAAAGGCTTCATTTGAGAAGAGTCAATCATTTGTCCAGCATGAATTCAATAAGGTGAGCCTACTTAAAGACTTGATAGGGTATGTGTCTATTGTTGCCTTAGAGGAAATTTTGTGTGAGTCAAAGAGAATACAATATGTCGGGGCTGATCCCATTGCATGCGGCTGCGTTATTAGACGTAGCCACGGGTTACCATGTGCTCATGAGATGGCTGAGCTAAGTCGAGTATTCCGACCCATTCCTCTTCATTGTGTTCATCCTCACTGGAGGAAATTAGATATGTTTCCTACCGCACAAATTAATGATAACTTAGATTCTCCTGAAGATGCAAAGATTGACGTATTTGTCAACTGGTTTAAAAGTAATGATTATGACACTAAGAGACATATTGGTATGAAATTACAAGAGATTATGGGTCCAAAATCTTCAACACTTAGAGAACCACAAGTGAAGATCAAGACAAAAGGGCGTCCGAGTAATTTTGACAAGTCTACTCGTAGATTGCCTTCAGCCTTTGAGCTTGCTGAATCCGATTGTAATAGGAATTCTCGAACATTGTCTGACGGTGTAGTCTATACGAAACCTCCACCAAAAAAGCGAAAGAAACAAACACCCCCATTAACAGTAAGTACTTCATATTACTTTTATGTTACAATTATACTTGTTGCTCCTTATGTTTCTTTACTTTGTAGGTGAACCATGATACTCAATCATCAGCACTCGAAATTGTAAAGATTGAAACTACACTGCCTAAGAAGCGGACACCAAAACTACCGGTAGGTACTTATATTATTTTGATTAACGCATCAAAATGTCAAAAGATCAACTTATACTTTGTTTTTATTCAGGTGCATAAGCAACAAATTGTCAATCCCGAAGACTTGACACAACAATATAATGACAAACTTCCAGCTGCTATAAGGCCATTTATTATGGGGGCCAAAGATGTAAAATCTGATGGCAATTGTGGCTTTAGAGCCATTGCTGGGTTGCTAGGTTACGGGGAGAATTCTTGGCGTAAAGTAAGGAGGGAGTTACTGAATGAGTTGAAAAATAATGAATTTCTTTATGAATTTATCTTTCAGAGTGTTGAAAGTAAGCGTGAGGTTGAGTATCGCTTGGATTATTTTGATGATTACCCTTTAGAAGATAGATGGATGCTCATACCAGAAATGGGTTACCTTATTGCAAATTGTTACAATGTGGTCTTGATGCATTTTTCAAAGGGAGTTTCACTAAAACACCAAAAATGGGGGCTGAAATTATAAAAAAAACCCAACACCCAAAACACTTTATAAACACACCCAAAACCCATCATTACACACACTCAAAACCCATTTATAAACACACCCAAAAAATATACAATTGTTGATTTTGGGGTTGATTTTGGGTTTGTTTCTATGTTTAAATAGTGTTTGGGTTTTTTTATAAATACATGTCTAGGATTGGGTTTATTTATAAATTTGTATTTTTCAAATGCCATATCTCTTATGTTTCTACCAATGGAAAGTCATCCTTTGCCTGAATATCAACGTCGGGAAATTTCCATCGGATTGGTTGAAAAACACTTTGTGCAGGTATAATAATAAATTTTTTCTATTTATAGCTGCCAGTTTTTCCTTGTGAAATTTGTTTGTTGTTTTAACTATACATTTGATAACTTTATTTTATTTTGACAGCTACACTTGCAACCACACCATCCCATGCCACCTGTTATCAATCGTTGGCTTGATATTTCCAACCTCAAAGCATTTGATTGGTATAAGTCCATATCGAGATCGCATTGACAATTGGAAAGAGCTTACTGATTCATTTGATGTACATCTTGATGTATATTGATCCCTTACTATTAGATGTATATTGGTATAGTTCATATTGAGATCGCATTGACAATTGTATGCTCTTTGAACTGAAATTCATTCCTTTCAAAGATATATTATGTTCTTTGAACTCAAATAATGCATGATGAATGTATTGTGTGATTAAACAATGAAACCAGTATAACAGTAAATTTAGGCACTTTTTCTATACTCTTGAGAAGGTACCATCTTTCATTCAGTTATAAATCATATGTATGAGCTACGTCAATCATCATTAACCCTTGAAATAATTTTTCAATTTAGATTTAGAAAACAAATTTCTTTGAGTATAAAAGATTAATACATGCACGAATAAGAATGCTGCCACAACGAACCAATGCACTGCAAAAGTCAAGGAAGAATAAGAAGCAACAACAATTTATATCAGTTTGAAACTTGAAGGGCTCATATTATTAAATATCTTTAGATTGTCTTTTGAAAATGTTGTTGACGTGTGTGATTTCTACAGGAGAATCAGCCACAGAACTCACCATCAGAACCATGGACATGTTGAGAATGATGAGTCTTGGGTTCCTGTAAGTGCTTCTCTTAATTCACATTGCTCCTTCCATGTTTAATTTTGATTTTATTTTTATTAGTCGCAATGCTAGCTCTTACTTTGCATTAATGTAAGTACTAGTTCGGATGTTTTAATTAGTGGTTAACATGTCTGTGTTTTGCTATCTTTGCTAGCTGACTGAGAAGGTTTATTCAAGTTTGCATGAAAGTACAAGAAAATTCAGATTCAGAGTGCCATACCCCATCTTTGCATACCCTTTCTATCTGGTGAGAAAACCCATCTTTTATTGAACATATGTAAACATGAATGGGCTAAGCTTGCGGACTTAAGAGTTAAATTGTATGTTTATGCACTTGAAAACAGACAATGAATAAGACTCTGAAATATCATCAAAAAATTAATTTAATACTTACTATTTCTCATGCTCAGAACGTATTTTCTCCTCTAAAGGTATCTTGTGGGGTTTAAATAGAAAATCTCTTTTATTTCTTATTTTTTTCAGCTTGGGGTGTATTTAAGGGTAGTTTGGGAAGATAGTGGGGTTTACTTAGAAATTGTGAAAATTTAAATTAAAAGTTAGTGTGAACTTAGAAAATGGGGTGAACTAAGAGAAGTGTGGGGTTTAAATAGAAAATCTCAACAAGAAACCGTAATCACACCACCATAGTCTTAAATATCGATATTATCGGCGATATCATTTTTTTGAATGAGCAATATTTTAGCCCATATCCACTTAAATATCGTCAATATATCGATATTTTCATCGATATTATTGCGATAATGTCGGAGGCGATAATTTCCTACTTGTCCATGCTTTATTTGGGCATCGATAATATCGCGATATGAAACTGAAAAATAAATGAAATTTGTTGAGAAATGACGCGTTTGCCAACAAGGGGATTCGAACTTGGGGATTCGAACCCCTCTCGTTCTCATCCATCTACTGGGCCTTATCCAACACACTACGAATGAGTTTGTTAATAAAGCTACGGCGTGTAATATTTATATGGTCTTTAAAATTTCTGCAAGCTAATATTATCTAGGATAAATTTCCATAAAAATAAAATAAAAATCCCTAATGATAAATTTAGGCATATGTTTAATGTTATTTATTATTTTATTATGGAGTTGTTTTTTGTTTTTTTGGTTATATATTATGGAGTTGTATTATTATTCATTAACTATTGAGTTCTAATATTGTTCATTATATGTGATACTAAGTTTTAACTTTAATAGGAATTCTTTATATGTGGTACTAAGTTACTCATATATTTTATTTTTATTTTTTTGTCAAGCTCATATATTCATATGTAATATATTGTAGTAAATTACTATAACTAAAAAATTATGGTGTTTGTCAGTAACTATTGAGTTCTAATATTGCACTAATTACTACATATTTTCTAAAGACACAGTGTTTGTCAGGTCGTTACATAATCAACTTAAATGACTCAAACACATCGTGCCATGCATTTTATTCCAATCTTTTGTGATAAAATAATAGACAATTGACTAAATAAACATCCTCTAAAGTTTCAATAAAAATTTCCAAGTTTTTCTCACAATTTCCGTGATTTTATTCAATTTTTATCGATATCGATATTTCCTCGATATTTCCATCGATATATCCATGTTTTTGGACCACCGATATTTCCGAAACTCTCAATATTTTAGACCTTGGTCTCCACCTATCACACAATCACCTATCTAATCCTTCCTGCTACACCATCGTACCACCATCTGTCTCACTGCCATCATTTAAGTTCTTACAGACAAAAATGGATTTTTGAATTCTTGTTCATGAACATACATACAAGCAATCCCTTTTTAGGGTTCAAAATAAGTTGAGGAAGAGAAAAAAATTGAAGATACAAGCCGCTCATCATGGTGGCGACGAACAGTCTTGTACAAGACAATCAAAGCTAAACCATGATTGTTTCTTTTCTCTCCCTCCCTCCACTATTTAGTTTGTGTTGTAGTTGAAGGAGAATTAAAAGCACAAGTTTTTTTTTTCATTCAAATTGAAAATTAGAAGGGATTAGAGTAGAGGATGGAGGAGAGGGCTCTTGATTTGGTTTTTTCATTAGTTGACTTTGATGTTTCATTCTTAATTTAATTATTTTCAAAGTTATTGATTTTTATCTTATGAATACATGCTGGAAATTTGTTAAATGAAAACTGACGATGTGGTGACAGGACCCGACTCAAATTCCACTTTTGAATTCAAGCCGAACCCTGTGTGTGTTCGACACCTGGCCGGTGCCGGGCACAAATGACCAAATTGCCCTTCTAACTAAGATCCAAACTTATTTCAAGTTTGACTGCTGCCGAAAATCCGGCAGAGTCTCCCTTGTAAATTTCTCATTTCCCAAAAATTTTACCTGTCAAATAAGCATATATATATATGTATATCCCAATTGCCAACATGCATTCAATTTTCATCTCAACTTTCAGATCATTAATAATGTGGGAACCGAATTAATTCATAACCCTAGGTCAAATAATTCCTTCCATTTGGGGATTATTTGACCTAATTGGGAATTATTCAATTTAATTGGGAATTACCCAATTAAATAGAATGTTACCTAATTAGGTTAAGGATTGATTTGATTCCTACGAATATTCTCAATTAATGGAGGAGTTACCTAATTAAATTAGGTATTGATTTGATTGCTACCCTGATTAGGGATTTGATTTAAATCAAATAAATAAAATCCCTAATTAGTTAAATCTCGCCAAATTGGGGAGGAATAATTCCCTTCCATCTACGGAATTATTCCTCTGAAACCCTAGCTCCTGAGACCTCTATAAAAGGATGGCCACACACAAGGGTTGAGGTACGTCTAAA